AGCATCGAGTTCACGCTCAACGATGGAATCCTCACCGTCGTAGAAGGAAACTTCTTCCACCCGAGACGTTCCTGGGATCCGTACGAATGAAACTCGGTCTCCGCATTGATCATCATCGTCGTCAACCATGTCTCTCATGATCTGTGCCCTCAATCTCGCTTTGTGCTTAGCGAATTCCAAATTCACGGCGCGATCCTCGTCGTTGACAAGTGCCTCCATGTCGACGTACTTCACCTTCCGTTCTTTGTCCTTCTTCGATCTTCTAGGACACGAAGAAATGAACTTCACGTCATCAGCGAATATCACGTTGCGCTTGATCTCTTTTCGGGTCGACGTAGTCGGTCCCGAGGATTCGTCGTCGGTTGAACAATCCGAGTCAGCGTCGCTGTCAACGGATGGACAATCTGACTCTTCCTCATCTTGTCTTGAAGATCGCTTCCATATAGCCGGGGCTGATGGATTCCACCTTCGGCACAATCTGATGGCGGGTGCCGCAGGGAGTGCCTTGGCCTTGGCATTCGGCTTCGCTGGAGCTGCCTTTGCTTCGGATTTGGCTTTGGCTTTTGCCTTTGGTTCCGGAGCTGGGGTAGCTGCGGCCTCATGCTTGAAAGGACAATTCTCTCTTGAGCACGAGCCTGTGTTCTTGAAAGAGTAGCATATCCTATTTCCTCCTCCTCCAGATGGACTTGGAGTTCTCGTCCTCGGCGTAAAGGGTCGCTCTGGAGTCTTCTTCGAGTGACTGAATGGGCACTTGTCACCATTTCGACACCCTGCATCTGTGAAATGGAACTTGCAGCGGATTTGCTTCTTGCTCTTGTCGCCTCTGTTGTCCGCCGACTCACTCCTCGTCTTCTTCTTGGGCTTTGGCTTGGTCTTCGCATGACTCTTCGCTTTGCTCTGAGGTAGTACAGGTGTTGCCTTATCCGGCTTGGTAGGCGAAGCTTTGACCTTTGCGGATGGGGCTGCATTAGGCGTTGGTTTCTCAGGTACCTTAGCCGGCGCAGCAAGCAAATCCTTGCCCTCAAGCATCTGGCGCAAACCAATTTGGGCCTGAGTGAGGTTTGATTGTTCTCGTCTCCGCATGATGGTACGATCAATGATCTTCATCAGATTGTCGTACGATCGGTCTTCATGATTGTAGGGCAAGTGTTCGTAGTGCATGCCCAACTCCATCTTCATTGCGGGCGAGTCCTTGATCTTGCTGTACAAGCAATCACGGAGAGCTGTTTTGGATGGTATGTCTTCTGGTCTCATCCGTCCAAGGACTTCCAACCACGTCTGCTTGAACGTATGAAGTTTGTTGTCGCCTTGGTACTGGAGCTTCACCAGGTACTCGAGAGTGATGATCATGTCGAGACGATCATGCGTTCGAAAACTTTCATACATCATCGCAATGATTTGTCGTCCTTTGATGATCTTCCCTTCGGGCCTGCTGATGTAATCGTTGGCCTTCCGGTTCACCTCCAGGTACAGATCAGCGGATTTGTCACCACCAGCGCGTAGCATTGCGACCATGGCGATTCCCAATTTGACATCTACGCTCTTGAACTTCTTGTGTCCTGAATCGTTCAGTGCTTCGACATCAGGGAATGGATTGAACGCTGGTGCCAGCCATAACATCCAGTCCTCATGATTTGGGTCGGCTGATGCTCCTAGGACATTCGCCGTGCATACGGACCGCCAGTTGTTCAGGTGAGTGAGAGTAGGCCATGGAGGGACTGTCACTTTATCGGCCTCTCTCCTGGAAATTCTCACCTCCGTGACTTCAGGATCTGCGTCTCCATCAGGATCACGCGCATGAGGGTCAGGATCCGGTTCAGGTTTGCCTCCACCGCTCCTCTTCTTATCATCATCGTCATCATCAGGCGGATCTGGAGGGTCATACCCCGTGCCGGCTCCTTCATCATGCTCTCCCTCTCCGTTCTCGTCGCCAGCTTCATCACCGTCATCGTCTCCATTGTCTTCCTGAATCGTTTCAGCGAATAATCTCCACTCATCACGATCAGCTCTGAGACGCTGTTCGGCTTTCTGGGCCTTGAGTACTTCGCTTCGTAGATCAGCAATCTTCTCTTCATACTGTTCCGCGACCTCTTTCTCGATCTGACGTCTCCTTGCCTCATGGATGGAAGCATCGTAGGTGACAGGGGCACCATTGGGGTCGTTGCCCTTCGTAGATGCGATAATACCGTCGATACCGACAGGTCTCGAGGAGCTGGCAGATGCTGTGGACTTCGATCCCAACATCCCGCGATCCTCCAAGAGTTCACGTAGCTGTCGATCACGCATGGCTGCCGCATCACTTTGCCCATGAAATCCGCTTGGTATGCCAAACAGAGTGGCTGCACTGGGCGTGGAACGCGCATGTGCTGGACTGCTAATGCCTGGCACGTAGTGCTCGGGCATTGCATCCGCCACGATTGGCATTGAGTAGGATTTATCTACCTCACCTTTGATGCGGCCAGTGAAGAAGTTTCCACCGGTAAATGGGATGCCATCCATCGCAAGGTTCTTGTCCTTGTCCGATTCCGAGAATGCGAACTTCTCTTTGGCGACTGGACTAATTTGACTTGGGGACCGTATTTCAGGGGATCGCACCTCACCTCCTACGGAAAATGCAGGCACTACTTCCTTTCCTACGTGCTCCCAGCCAGACTCAGTAGTCCTCGAAGACATGGGCATGCTCGAAGGCCGTGTCACTCCGCCATGGTAGTTGGAGTTCCGTGCTGCCTCCAATTCGCTACGTGTCCTCGCTTGAAGATCTTCTTGTGCTTTGAGCGTTTTCCTGAGTTCACTCAGCTCGTCGTGCAAGGTGGGCAATGCACGCCTTGCATGATCCTCATTCTGATGAAGTCGGTCCTCTGCATCTTGCATCCTCCTCACAGCCATTTTGCGGAACTCTTCTTCCTCACCAAGACGTTCGCGGAGCCGAAGTCGTTCTTGATCGATGGCTGCGCTGTTTCCAGCTAGCCCTTGAATCTCGTTTACGGCCCGCAACTCCTGATTCCTGACCAAGTGGAATCTTTCCTGCATCGCTTGTAAGGCTTGTTCCGAACTTGCTGTGTTCGACCGGAGGAACAAGTTCTCTCTGGCTTGTTCATGAAGTTCATGAGTCAGATGCTCATACTCACGTGCCATAAGCTCACCATCGCCTTGCGCTCTTGCCTCCAACTGCACAAAGTTAGTGGCTGCTTCCGTGCGGAACACATGTAGCTGCTGAGCCAATTCCTCGGCAACGGCGTGTGCTTGACGTTGTTGAGCAGAGTTCTGTTCATCCATGCGAAACAAAGCTGTTTCATAGTCTCGCTTCATCTCCTGATTGACATTGTTGATGTGCCTCATGGCTAAGCATGCATGGTCACGTTGTCGTTCCAATTCTTCGATGCGAATCCCAGATCCTTCATCTTCTTGTTGCATCTCCTTGATCTTATCCATCAGGGTCTGGACAACTCCTTCGCACTCTTGCATCTGACTGCGATAGTACATCTGCTGTGCAAGGTTCGATGCTTCGAATTGTTGCGAAATCGTCAGTTCCTGGTAGGCATTCGGACCATCAGCTATGGCTGGCGTAGTCACCGATGAAGCATCACCACGTGCAGGAATAGTGTCCAGAGTCAAATCCAGATCGTCAGCATCGCGTGGTTGATTGGTAACCATCCGATTCCACGTCATGGACTTGTCACGCCCACGAGTAGCCGAAGTCCTTGATCGTGCTGAAGAGCTTCTCGAAGATGATGGTCTCGACTTCTTTTCCAAGGTCTTCACTCCCTTGTCCTTTGCCCTGGACGTAGTCCGAGGTGCCTGAAAACCAGACGCTTCGGATCGTCGTTCCGGAGCCTTGCTCGTCCTCGAACCTGTGGATGTCGGACGCGAAGGCGTAGATGCTCTTGGTAGACTCTTTGCTTTCACTTTGGGAACTGCCTTTGCAATGGCAAGCGCAGAAGATTGACCTTTGTCGTCTTCCGTGGAGCTATCAACGGATTGCACCACTGTGTCGTCAGCTGTTGACTCACCAACGGCTGGCGCTGCCACATCGGCACCGAAAGTCATTGTCGTATCTTGGCTTGATCCCGAGTTCATTGTGGTCGTAGTAGATCAAGTAGTCTTTGCTGCAGAAAGGCAGAGCCGCGTACGGCTGATAACCTGCGTGGGGATTTGATCCTGGTAATTCTCTGTATCGCTCACCCCACAAAGAGCTGTATTGACTGTTGGCGTGGTTGCCCTCTACAAGCTGGATCACCGTTACTTCCACTTCCACACACGCACTCCTATGCAGGCAGTTCCAACGTTCGCTCCTTTTGCACACTCACGGCCGGCGGTGGATCGTCTGTGCACGGGATAGCTCTGACTACTCTGAGGATCACAAAGATAATAGCACTTTAGCTACGGGCAATGCTTTCTAGAGCTTGTGCTCATTCTTGAGCCAAACGTTGCATGGGCGGTCACACTGAAAGGATGGATAGGCATTGCGGTGTGCGTAGCACTACCACAAGCCTACTCCTAGAGACGAGGGACGCGTAGCGTGCCCCCTTCCCTTGCACTTTACATGGTCTTGCTCACAGCTCTTATAGTGACACCTTGGAACTTGACAAGGCATCGCAGTCCGTTCGCAGTAGTAGTAGTAGCACATACTAGTATCGTGGCAGTGGCAGCGGCGGTGGCAGTAGCAGTAGCAGTAGCAGTAGCAGCGGCGGTAATAGGAGCAGTAGGGCCAGATGATCTAGTAGCAGTAGTAGCAGTAGTAGAACCAGCAACAGCAGTAGTGGAAGCAGTAGCAGCGGCAGTAGCAGCAGCAGCAGTAGCAGAGCAGCGCAGTAGTAGTCGTCGTCGCAGTACTCTGCAAACTTCGCAATAGTAGAGGTAGGGTAGAAGCAGCAGCTGGAGGAGGAGGCAGATCAGCAGCGGCAGCAACAACAATCAGCATGACACGATGAGAAGAGGGTGCTGGTGCTCATAAGCTGCCGATGCAGCCAGCAGGATGACGCTAAGGATCATCTTGATGATCACTCTTGCACGGATGAGGAATAAAATGCCAAAGCAGACAGGGCTTCAGACCTCAAACTGGCTGACCGAGCCACCTGCCCTGCGTCCAGGCAAGCGAAACGCGAGCGGAGAAGCGTGGAACTCGAGGACGTCGGTGCTGAGGCACCTGCGGTCGGCAGGTGTTCGGTCGCTTCTGGATGCTTCGGTTTTTGCGCAGATTCAAGACAGTCCAAGGATGAAGGCAATGGATTGCAGCTGTGAGGGGGCGGGGCGGGGGCTGACGTGGTGAGCAGGCGATGACGTCGGACTAAGAGGCTATACAGTGAGGTCTCTTAAGTGAGCAGCACTGGGGATGCAGTGGCTGCTCTTCGGGCGAAGGTGCAACGGTGCAACTGCTCAGGGCCTCGGAAAGGCAGTAAGTCCAGTGCAGAGAGGATGTCCTGGGCTGCCTTCGCGCGTAGGTTGCCGTGGATCAGCGCCTGCACAAGTCCCAGAGACTGTGGGTGCTCCGATGCTCCTCGATCGCAGGCCATGATGACTTTTTCCAAGCGCAAGCATCTGTCGGGCAGGCTCAGCTCGCTAAGTGGAGCTGCGCAGCTGCACGATGTAGCTTCCTGGGCCATTGTTTGCAGTTGCTCAACCACAATAGTGGACTGCAAACTCCTCCACGACGGGACAAGACTCACAAACTCTCACAGCTCTCAGAAAACATTCACTGTGGAGTAAGGCTCCCAGCCTAAGGGTCTAAGTGTCGCAGGTAGGCTTTCAGAGACCTGGTCGTACCGTTCTCCTCTGGTCCCCACAGCGACACAACGTTGAAAAAAAAAGCTTTTACCCTTTGGCTGCTTGCTTTGATACAGTTGTCTGCTTTCCTGAAACCGCTTAGATGATTCACCTTCTTCACCGCTCCCATAATACAAGTACATTGCTGCCGTGGTGAAGCCTGCCGCGAACTCATCCGAGCTTCGATGCCTTCATGTTGGGCTCGGGCTTCTCCAACATGCTCTTCGAAACGACGGTAGCGATTCCAGCTACGAATAAACCAATGAGCACTGCCAGGCCCACCGGCCATGCCATGCAGAAGGCACCTGACAGTAACTCACCGCAGCAGGTCGGACACAGCTTGTGCAAAGATGCACAAAGGCTACCCGAAAGGTAGTGAAAGAGCATGCCCGTTTATGCCAACTCTTTGCAACGAATCTACTCATCCTCAAGGCAACTTGCGGGTCTCGGTGGTAAGAAGATGGGAGGGCGCGGAATGCTCGTGGTCTAGTTGTTTCACGGCCAAGGTGCCAAAGATTACCAGGCCGCCGAGAATACCGCAAACAAAGAAGGCCTCGGCTCAAGAGACTCAAAGATCAGCAACAAACCAAAGCATGTTGCCTTGCTTCCAGAGCACAGCCCGAAAGTGCTTTTTAGCCCTGCTTCCATTGAACCCCAGAGGCCTGGCAGCCAGAGCCGCTGCCGTATGAATCGCCGCCGCAACTGTTTATCCCGGCGATGGCCCCAGCAAACAAAAATCCTGCCACCACAAAGCAAACTATGGCCACGATGATGCAGAGGAGGATGAAGACGAACTCAGCACAGGAACAGTAGCCGCAGTGGCAGTAGCAGACATGTCGACTGCGCAAGAAGCACAAAGATCTGAAATAACGACCAAAAAATCTGTGCCTGAGCGCTCCTGTCAACTCCGAGCTGCTTGTGTTCGCGCCGCCTCCGACTCATCCGTCCAGGAGTCGCTGTGCAGCAGAACTCGCGCTTCCTCATCGCGACTCACCGCAGCCAGCAATCCTCGCCGAGTCAAACCAGAGCGTTACAGAAATCGGCCAGACTTCAAGGCAAAGCAGTGCCAGAATGTTCAGGGCTGTGAGAGGGAAGGTGGCCTGCGAAAGTCAAGGGATACTGGTAGGGGAACCTAGGTTCTGTCAAGCTTCTCTCGGACTTCAGCTCTAAAGACGACGCTGTGCGTGAGTCTGGCGGGTTTGTGGCCGTCTCCATGTGCGCCGCTGCCTCATCCGCAGTGCCTCAGTCACCCTGACCCTCAGCCTCCGGATCAAATGAAATCGCATGTCGGGTGCCCACTGCCAATCCAGGCAGGTTTGGCAAAAACTGATGGAACTTGATAGCTGAGGAGCTGAGCAAGTCTGCCATTGAAGAACCGCTGACTTTCTTCAGATAGTCTTGGCAGTGCTCTGGCAAGTTCAGAGTTTGGCCCTCGAGATCGCCGGCATTGTAACCAGGCACCTTCATGAAATAGTTCATGAACTCTTTCAGCTGCTCCTTCTCAGCGAGTGACTCGTCTTTCAGAACACACTTGTCTTTGGACTCCAGCTTGGCCTGGGCGACCAAAGCTGCACTTCAAAGTCTCGAAATTACGAAAGACTGCAGATCATCTGTGCAAGCTCATCCTCAGCCACCTGCTCCTATCTCTCCATGAGCTCGGCGCTAGGCCAATTGGGCGTGGTGCTCTCGGGTTCGAGTGTTGCGGGAGATCAGAACCGTAAGTGTGCCGGTCTTACAAAAAAACGCTGATCTGGCATCCAAGCCACCGTCTCAATAATGATTCGGGGGCGCTTGAGCACGAAGTTGACCAGCTCAGAGTGCCTTGAAACAGAGTCGGATGGGTGTCACCTCTGCGGCCTCTGTGGCCTCCCTGCAGCCGAGCTTCAGTTTTGCAGGCACAGAGAACTCCTCGGAGCCTTGGAGAACTGCCACGGACGAAGCCTTCGCCAGATTGTACTCCTCAATCGTCAAGCGATCCTTCGAGACGGCCACCGGACGCTCCGTGGAGAGACTGCACCCTGACTCCAAACTGAATCTAACCTGTCACCCGTGCCAATGGCCATGGTACAGGCAGGGTGTCCCAATCAAGCTGCCAATGGACTCTAGATGACCCAAAACATCCCTCACCTTGCGATGGCGCCAATGCTTCATGTCCGTTTTGCTCGCTCGGCGGTGTGCTGCCGTGAACTTCCCCACTTCAGGATCTGTCCTGGCACACGGCATGATAAGGCTTTCCCTTTCCTCTCGAGTCTCGACTAGTGTACGTGCCAGCCTTGAAGGAAGCGTCTCAAAGACTTGGAGCACGTCTGCGGCTTCTTCCCAAAGCTCTGCAGTCATCTTCATACTCGAACGGCCGGCGCTTGATGCGGAAACCGCCTCCAAGTCTTCCAGTTTCTTGACAACCTCAGTGCGACACTTGCATCGAAAGGCAATGACAGAGCCAAGAAATGCTGATATATGCTGATAAGTCACGTCCAGTGCCTTCATCTTCAATTCGGGGATGGCTTTAGTTTCGAGTGTGCTGTCGGCCTCCTCATGGGTACTGCCACCGACCGCTTTGCATTTCTGCTGGTTACCAAACGGAGCCAGAGCAGTGGGCGTCTCACCTTCGGTGACTTTCTTGCAAAAGGCAAGTGGTCCACACACGTCGTCGTCGGAGTCGTAGAAGCACCGGAACGCGCACAGGCTGGGACTGTTTAGGCAGGAGCTCTGGCCGAGCATGGCGTCCACCATTGCCACGAGTTCTGTATCTGGAGAGTTCAGCGGCTTAGAGCTTTGCCCTTCGACTTCCACGTGAACTTCGGAGGATGTCTCTTCCGGAGCCATCGTCACTGCGTTGATGTCAATGGTGCTCTGGACTCCATTGTAGAGGTAGTAAGGCTTCTCGGTACCCTTCCTGTAGACGGGATAACCAGCATAGCGCCAAGGGATGGTGCTGCTGGTGGTTACGCCGATGATAGGGTTCCTCTCTGTGCGGATCCAGAGCATTTCGTCCTTGCTATATTTGCTAGGTCCCCAGGATCTGCCGTCAAAGGCTTGCCACCCCGAGATGCCGACAACGGCCATGGTCTTCATTTCCTGGCCAGGCCGCCACCAGGCTCAAACAGAACTTCGAAAGGTGAGCAGCGTGTTTTGACTTCGTGCCTTGGTCATCACGATGGCGTCTGGCAGGATGCGATATTTCGTGTCCATGCCCCTGACCTCCACGTACTTCTCTGGCTGCCCTTCGCCGCCGCTTTCATAACTGAATGTGATCGTGGCGTTTGCCCAATGCAGGCTACCCCTTGGATGAACAAGCTAGCCGATCAAGCACAGGAAGCTGCTGTGTCCCAAGACTGTGAAAGTGTTCTAGGAAAAGGGTTGCTGCCATGACTCAACAGAGGATTCTCTTTCCCTTTCGCCCACATCGTTTTCAGTGAAAACGACCCATGCTCAGCCACATCAGCCATGTGCTCATGAAACCTTAGCAGGACGGGTCTGCATGCAAACCTCCTCCCAGAAACAAATCTTAGCTCTAAGCGCTGGCAATGCGTGCTCCAATTACAAAAACTGACTTGGAACCAGGTCGTGAAACTGGCTGCTCTGCTCCATAGTGTTGGCAGCCAGCGTTACCATCTCAGCCACGTTGAACGAGTCTCTAGCAGCGGAGACATCCCGAACGGCCAGCATGAAGATAAAGGCCTGGGAAAGGAAGAAACCAAGATCAAGCTCTGAATGCTGAAGATTCTCTTTGAGCGAAGTAGCCAAGGCGAGGTTCTGCCGCGTTGAACGTCGCATCATCACAGCAATATAAAGTTGACACTCAACGAACTGTTGGCTCTCTGTTAGCTTCGAGCCCAATTTTTGAAGATGCAAACATGTCCTCAACAGCACTTTCTGCGATTGCCTTACCGCAGTCAGCACAAGCTGCAGAACAGCACAAACCTGCATTGCGCACCCGCCTGCCCAAAGAAGCCCTGCTCTGCGCTGCGAAGCAGCCTAGAGTAGTCCCGGACAGCCGGCAACGTAACCTGTGCAAACTCAGAGCTCTCAACGTAGACTTTCTCTCAAGCCAAGGGTGTGCATGGTCACACCAGTCACGGTTCATTCAATGCAAGATACCCCAACAAGCATTTCCCCCAAAAGCATTCCTCCACTGATTCATGGGAAAATTGTTTCAATCGCCGTCCCCAGGGAGCTTTGCTTCGAGGAAACGTCTGCTCCTGAAACGAAACATCTAACGTTTAAGCTGTGAGGCAAGCCCCGAGCCTTATGTTTGTGGTGGCGGCCTTTCTCAACCAATCGTTGCATGAGTCGAAAGTCATGGCCTCCTCTTCGATTTAGAGCACAAGGCATCATACATTGTGTAACACGGACCGTCCTGGTGTATAATAATGCTACTTTGCTGAACCCTCCGATAACTTCTCTTGCCTGCAGCATCTGATGACTCTAATTCCTTTCGCACATCTTCGGGCGGGAATCGGCCTTGCTGGTGGCCTTCCGCAGGTCTTCGATGCTATACCTGGTTGCATTGACAAGGTGGCAATAGGGAGCGTAGGCTGTAGGGCTCCAGTGGGGTTCGAGCTAGGCCCCAGGCTTTTCGACGAGGACTTGCGAAGCTGAAAAGGCGAACAGCAAAAACGAATGCATGCACACGAGAGATTTGCCCGGCTCGGACTGTAACCTGCACACATCTAGGAAGGGAACAACAAGAAAGGCTGTCGATAAGAGCATGGACACCAAGAGACCCCTGGCGCTGAGAAATCGGTCAACCGACGGGAAAGGACACCCCTGCAAGGAAAAGCCTCTGCACGATGCAGACAAGGGCTCATATCCAGAATAAACAAGCAACCAACAAGCCTCTGCTACCCAGGATGCTCTGGGCAGAAGGTCGCCAGGCGGGAGAAGTAGGCTGCATGTGCAAAAGGCTGCTGGACGTCGAAAGAAGCCTGCAAAGCGTAGAGTCGGTAGTGAATCTACGTTTGTGAATGGGTAGTGCGATGCTTCTGATTCTGATGATTTGTCTATCTGATGTATCACGTGGATTAAGTGCGGATCCTTGCCGAGGGCGACCCCACGAGTACCATCGTGAAACTGGGCAAGCTTCCCGATTCCGTCTCACAGTGCGGTAAACGAGAGCAAAGTCAAACGAGTCTTCGGCATCCGCAGAGCCTGCTCTCGCCTCAGGTTATCCAGCGCCCGCGCAAACTCACTCTCCGAAGGTCCGTCGAAGTCCCGGATTTTCGCAAGGACCTGCGGCGTTGAGCTGTTTCATCCTGAAGACCAAACATGTTTCTATCACCTATACTCAAGTGCTGCCCGCATCATGGATTCAATCCGTGGCCCGACACTTAGACTGCATGAGCTCGGTGCCGAAGCTAGAGGCTCTTGTCTTGAGCAAAGACTGAAGCTCTACAAAACTGAAACTGGGCCTCTCCCACGAAAACCGGCAGCTTGTCGCTGTAGCCGCTGAAGCTGACATTCAGCCCCACGGTAGTCCTGTCCAAAGCAAGGTCTTCTCAGAGAGCTACAAACCCAACCGTTTTCCTCTTACTCGTTTGCTGAAGCTGCTGCGAGGGCACGAGCCACAGCCGGCGTTGAGGCCAGCAAGCTGCGCATCGTAGTACTCCTTCGTGCCGCAGGTTCAAGGAGTTCGTGGTTGAATGATTGGACTCAACCAGCAGCCCATGCCATGCACGACAGGCAACCCGGAGCCAGAACGGAGAACCCTTACAGATTTGCGGGGAGAGGAGCAGGCGCCAGAGCTCAAGCGGGAGGTACGGGTAAATCGCACAGTCCAGAATCTTGGACCGAAGGAAGGCCAAACATGAGAGGATCGTGAGGACCTGCTTAACAGCCTGGCACTGTCGCGCTTAAGGCGAAGTCCTCGGTGAGGCGATCAGCCAAGGACAACTGCCAGATGCCTCGAGGCAGTTGCGTTTCGTTCACTGTGAAGGACCGGCTCACGCATTGGCTGTTGGTGCGTGCCATGTTGATTGCGGGACTGCAAGCGGCTGCACTGCATGCTCACTGCGAAACTACTTGTGCTTACCATGACACCGGCAATCCTTGCCCGGGAAAACGTGACCACGAATAAAAAACAAGACTGTGTGCGAAGTGATTCGGAACGCTGGGAAATCCTTCTGGCAATGGCAAAGCCAACTGATTGTCCCAGCCACGAGCGACGATTCGACCCTCGGGCGTGTCCACTGCAGATCCGGGAGCTGCGGGGGATCTGTGCTCAGCGTCCGGAAACCAGAACTGCCTAGGTGACTTCGACAACAAGGGAGTGCTGGTTGTGCACACGGGGGTCTTAATGACACCAGCAGAGCTTGTAGAGAGTTAAACTTCTCTCGCTGATTAACTGACAGCAAGTAAACACTCTCTTCTGGATTCGCACCATGAACCTGACTAGCGACGGCGAAGGTTCTAGAACCGAGTCAGGCTCCTCAGCCACCTGAACCGTTAAAGCCGGGGCGCAATATGACGGTTGCCTTGGGCACGCCGAAAGACTGGTCTGCCTTGAAGAAGACTCGCCACCGGTCCTTGACGCAACGGGCAAAGTGAGCCGAACCGCTGCTTCTGTCATGCAGGACCCGGCAAGCCTTTTGGATTAAGTAGAAGCGGCTTTTTCATGGCCGAGGCGCATCCTTCCGAATCAGCTCAGGGGGCCTCGAGGAGGCAGCAGCCTTCTCCCGAGACGAGGCCTGAAGCGAGGCTTATGCCCGGGCAGGCTTCTTCCGGGCTTGACATCAACCCCTGGAGTCAATCGAACATCGGAAGACACCGAATCTCGAACTCGATCCAAACCCAAACGCCTGCGGTTATTGCACCTGTGGCCAGGCCAGGTCGAAGTCTTTGGGGATGAAAGGATTCGGCCTCCGCAGCGCAAAGCCAGTACGCTCAGCACGCCATGTGCGAAAGCCTCTTGGTCCCTTGCAACGGCTTGCACTGTCAGGCATCACTGTAAATTTACTGAAATACCGATACAGAACCCCTTACCTGAATAATCGTTTAGAACACTGCAACGTGCCAAAACTCGAGGTTTTGCACTTCGCAGGCCTTGCATCGGCACAGCTTGCACGGAGTCAAATGCACCAGCTGCCAAAACAACAACCGCAACAGCAACAACAACAACACCACCACCGCCAACAGCAGTTTCAGGAGAAGTAGCAAAAAGCAGGGCAATCATCACCAGAAACATCAACTCAGCGAGATGGCCTGCAAATCAATCCGCCCTCTCTAATCCCACCCGCTGCTCGGGCGCACTTCGGGTAGCTCCAGCCCTCCAGTAGGTCTGCCGTTGGCCGGGTGGACCAGCCTGCGGAGGCTCTTTTCTTTGAGGCCGAAGCCTGGAGTCAGGTAGAAAAAAAACCCTAGCCTCAGCAACCCCCCGGCCGCCGAGTGGAATGTACTAACAGACAAAGCTGGTGCCAAAACTTAGGCTGAACGTGCTTTTCCGCGATCCATGTGCATTTCCTGTGCGTACTCCGTGGCTCAAATCTGCCACAGTCATGGCATCCAAGCCCGCGCATTTCAGGCAGCGACCAAACTTTCTGGGAATGCTTCGGCCTGTGAAGGCCGACTTTTGCAGCTCCGTCTCTGCATACCTGAGGACCGAAAACAGCGAAGCCGGGGCGTTTTGTCGGCTTTTGCTGCCTTCCAGAGTTGGCAACACGCTAAAAGGCTTGCAATGATTTGCGTGGTCGAATTGTCTACATGACCCACGGGTGCAGTTAGAGTTAGAGTCAATTAGAGAGGGCAAGGATGATTCAGGCTCCGAGGACGGACGGACTGGGCAGAGTCGTTTACAAGCTTGGCCGCGGTGCTTGACGCCGTACCACGTCTCCGTCTGCTTTGCCTTCCCCGCATTCTCCCGCGCGAAGGTGGCGTAGCGTGCACGCTCGGGTGTGAGCTGCTGGAGAAGGCCGAAAATCGCTCGCTTCAGGCTGCCTGCTGGGTACAGACTGTGAGAAAGGCGCAGCTACAACTCGGAGCACAGCAACTCCCGGCCTTTGTTCGGCCCATCTTCTGGTGGGTCAAAGAGAAGCACACGATTACCTAGGCCAGTCTGGCGATGCTCTGGGAGTCAAACACCCTTGCGACATGGAATTAGCCCAGTCGCTGAGGTAAGTTGCAGGCGATAGCCGGTCCTGCGAGATATGTGGGCATGACTGTAGGAGCCCATTGCAATCTCCAAGAAAAAGGACTCGGCTGCTCCGCCCTTGAGTCACAGAATGTCACAAGCAGGTGCTGCCCTCCTGCCTCCATTGCCTCCACAGCCTCAAGCGTGGCCTGTTGACTCCTCGAGTTCGAGGGTCATGCCCGCATGTGCCCATCGCCAGATGCAGCTCACATGATGATATGCTGCATGTAATTTCAATCTCGTCCCACCAATGCCAACGAAAATGCATTGCTGGGATGTCGATGCACGGAGTCAGCGAAAGGATGTTCAGATTGCAGGGCGGTGACGTGCTCAGTGTGTCTGATGCCCTTATTTCACTCTGCGTGCGGTGCACCTTGGCTTCTCGGCAAAGCGCCAACGCAGCTCTGCGAGCTCTCGCGTCTCCTTTAACAGTCACTTGAGGGCAAGTGGCCGAGAGCAACCATCGCAAGCGAGTGCAGCACGAACCGGATTTCGCTCCTGAATGGAATAGTCAGGCACGGCGTCCATGCCGCGCTCCTTGCACGACGAGGGAAACTTGGCAAGCTGCTGCTGACATGCAACATGCACGCAGTCTCAAGCCTGGCATAGGTTCCTAGGGGCTGGGTGACTAAGAACCCGACTTCTATCCGAGAACCCATCCAGAAAGCGCAAACGCCGCGCTCCGAGCTCCTGCATCTGCCGGAGCACGCTAAAGACCGCTCCGTAGAGAGCCTCCTTCTGGCGCAAACCTTCCTGGAAGGGGAAAGGGACCACGCGTTCGCCTGTGTGCATGAATCTATCTGTGCAATCTTAGAGGGAATCCAGACTGGCCTTCCAGACCCTGTAACGCCCCTGGCACTGCCTGACATCCGTCACAATCCCGACAAGCTGGCAAGGGACCTCGGAGACATCGAAGCCCACCTGTCTTCAGCTCAGCTGTTGTCTCGCTGCTGAATCCGGGTGATGCTTTAAGGCTAAGCACTTCGCAGCAGCTACACCCTGGTTGCCAGGTCATGCACTCATGTCATGACCTCTACACGTATGACCTCTACACGTAAGTCTGCAGACTGCCATCTTTAACGAGCTACGGCCATGGACCTTCTGCTGGCTGGCCAAACAGATCCCAGCAAACAACTTCCATGCAGTCCTGTGCGTCACTATTTAACCGAGACTCCGTCAATCTGCGAACGTGCAACTTCCGAAGAAGGCAACCCGTCGGGCTGCATAAGTTTTCTTGCCTTTGATGAAGAGGTTTCCGCTAGACGCTGGACATTGGAGATTGCCGGAACCTTCGATCAGCCTGAACCCCAAGCCTCGAATTCCCCAACCAGAAATCCTAAACCTGAGCTTCAAATCAAGTCCTGCCTTGAAGATAGAAAAATCGTCCTGGTCGAAGACCACCCCCGCGATGGTCTTGTTGGCCCAGCCCTTTCTCTTCAAGAGACTCTGAAGCGAGCCAGGCCCCTGGCCAAGGGTGCTCATGGAACCGCCCATGGAAGGAGCAATAATGCCAATACTAGCAAGAAACTAAACAGAATGATGGCAATGACAATGAAGCAGTAGCGTAGCAGCAGCAGTAATGGTAGCAGTAGTAGGCAGGCAAGCAGGCAGGCAGGGGTGGGTAGGTAGGTACATAGGTAGGCGTTTAGTTAATTAGATAGTTAGTAGGGAAGTAAGCAAGTCAGTAAGTTGATTAGTAGGACAGTAGGAGGTAAGTTAAGTAAGTAAGTAAGTAAGTCGCTAAGAAGTAAGTAGTAAGTAGCAACTAGCAAGTACTGAGTAGTAAGTAGTAGCAGCAGCAGGTGGCAGTAGTAGTAGTTGTTGTTGCAGGACTAGTAGTGGTGGCGGCGATGGTGGTGGTAGCAAAATCATAGCAGGAGTAGCAGCAGGAGCCGTACTCATGGAATTCGAAGCGGGAGTGGGGTCGGTCTAGGAGTAGCATTGACTGGGAGTAGGGGTGGGAGAAGCAATAGCAGTAGCAGTTGTTGTTGGAGTAGGGGGAGGATGAGGCACAGAAGCTCGACTGGCTTGTCTGGTAGAAGCAGAGTCAGCCAAAGCAGTCGTCGGCTACTCCTCCTCCTCCTCCTCCTCCTCCTCCTCCTCCTCCTCCTCCTCCTCCTCCTCCTCCTCCCCCCACTGCCTCATCGTCGGTGGTCATCAGCATCACCACCATCATCATGGCCAGTACCATCAGCGGCGAGACAACAAACTCTGTTATCGTCGTCCTCACCGTCCAAATTGACAGATTCCAAGACCGCGACAAGCTGCACAAGCCAATCTTTGAAGGCATTCAGTGAAGGCAATTGTAAACCGACTCCTTAACATGTGATGCTCCACAAGACGGGATGAGGACAAAAAATGGAGCCTGACTCCCGCAGACAACTCTTATCAATTCTTCAACATCTGGTCACCATTTAGAGCGCAAGACGTTGGCTGACTTTCTGCTGTTTGAGCTTGCGCAGCCTCGTGGCCAAGGATCTGGCTGATGTAGTCTGCTGGCTTGGCCACGAGAAACTCCTCGCGCGCTCACACACGCAAGATATGCAATGTACGTACATTTCCCACTGCATAACGACAATAATCAACGAGTTTGAGTAAGGGCGAAGAGACTCTTGTACAACCATATAGTCTCCTCTCGTGCTTTTCGGTCGGGAAAGGTGATCGTCCACGTCAAAGACACGGAACCTCGGATACTCGGCTTGGCTTGGACAATAAGAGCAACTTCAGTAGCCAGGAGCGCAACACTGATGTAATGCCACTGCAGCATCTGCTCGATCTTGCTGCCAGGCGTTACCGGCGTTTGCTGTTGCTGCTACTGCTGTCTATGACTACTTGTTCATTCCGCATTTGCATGAGCTTCAGCTAGATTCTTATTTTTCTGACTGTATATACCTTTATACCTATGTATACTGGCGACCCCACCACCACTGAGCCCCGACTTTGTTAGACGGGCTGCGCGCTTCGGACACTGGGACCGCCTCTACGATCAGCGGCGTGCCTCGCGAGAGCCGCGGTGGATATGGGTCCTGAGCAAGTCGAGAGAAGCGTACGAGGAGGAAGCCAAATCTCAGACTAGAGAAAGTCACCGATAATCTCTGGACGCTTGGCAAACCTCCTCATTGAGCTGCTTGATCTTACATGAGTGATTGCCCGGATTGCCTGCCTTCCGGGACCTTACTGCCTCGCTCTCTAGGCTTCAAGGCTTCATTGCCAGGGCACTAGCGATTTCCAGGGCCGGTCAGCCAGACGGCGTTGCGGGATGGATCCGAAGTATGCCTGCAGGCTGGAAGCAGATCCTCCGCTCTGCGCCGCGCTTGCTACGCAAGCAGCAAGTACGAACCCCAAGATACCAGTCCTCCGTCGAAGCTTGAAGCACATCCAACGGCTCCTGAGACAAGTCAGCGTGGCCACACTATCGTTATTCGAGCTTGCACAGCAGCGAAACCTGCACATTGCATCTCAACATGGAGAATTGTCTTTGGACATGAATTGGTGGGCGCCTTGCCGACAATGCACAACGACATCGCTGCGGGATCATATGCCTTGCGGGAGACTCATGCCATCAACAATCAATACATCAGGCTTGTCGCCATACAAGAATCCGACGCTTGCACGGGCTCTGGGCGAGCAGCGGGGCCGTTACTCAGTCTTGGTGCCCATGTGCCGTGGCCGGAAGGCGATACGTTACACTCCGACAGCAGTGGCATCGACGCGATCAATCAGTGTTCAAGGTATTCGCAACCACGGCAGTGCGTCGAATCTTGGCCTCTGGATGTCTGCGATAGCACTGAAGGCAGAAGCCGTAAACCCTAAAATCCTCTGCAGATTCGATGCTTCGAAGAACGTCTGCAGGGACTCCCGAAGTTGCTCCGGGCCTGTTCTCAGAAACCTTCCCCTAAAGCCCCAAACTCGAGTTGCCTTCGAAGATCCTAGTCATGGCCCAGCAGGCAACAAGGGATCTCCGACCGTAAGGGCCCCTCCCTCAGATTCTGAAGCTTCCACAACCTGGAGGTCCTGCCTCAACCTCTCAAGCGCTCGGCATGTGGCTTCAGTTTTGTGTGAAAAAGTGAAGGGGGCTCTGAGTACAGGCAGAGAGACAACTCTGACCACGAACACGGCTAGGGATGGTGCTGATTCTTCGGAGTCGGAGTCCTCATGACAGAGTATGGCAGTACTATAGTGCTACGTGGTACTGTGGTACCATGGTTCTTTGATACCAAAAGCCTATAATGCTACAATACTAGAATAGCATAATGCTATAGTACCATAATACTGTACTAGTATAATGTAATAGTATAATGCTACAGCACCATAATACTATAATAGTATAATGTGATCGTATAATTTATGGTATCCTAATACCAGTATATTACGTTTCATTGCTTCGACTGTCCAGGCCTCGGCTCTCCACCAGGGTCTTCCGGTTGCCGCAGCCGAAGTGCCTCTCCGGGTGGCCTCCCAGAAAACTGCTCTGAGCCGGGGGCCCCTAAAAAGGGGGGGAGGATTTAAGGTTTAGTTTTGGGGGCTTCCAGTTGAGGGTTTGGGTTTAGAGTTGAGGGCTTCGGCTTTCCAGTTGAGGATTTAGAGTTTAGAGTTTAGGGCCTAGGGTTGAGGGTTTAGGGGCGAGGAGAGTGGGCCGAAGAGTCCCTCGAGTTTTTGGCGGCTGCCTTTGGATGCAGTGCCCTTCAGGAGCTGCTGGAACCGAAAGCCATCCTGAGCATCTCTGTTCATCATAGGGTCATAGGGCCCCTTGTTAAAGGGGGTAGGGGGAGGGGGGTATAGGGGACTATACTTCCTTAAAATAAGCCTTTTAACAGTAGATCCTTCTTCTTGGCATTAAAGCGCCCTACCCCCCCTCCCCCTAACCCCCTAAGGGTCCTTATGGACGGGCTCAGAGGGAGATGTAATCATGAAACAACCGAGGGCGTCGTCGGGATGCTGTTGACGGTCTTTGGGCATTCGGCCCAGAAGCCGTAGCAGAGAGGCAAGACGCATCCATGCACTCTAGCTCGTAATCCAAGTCCATGCGAACTCTGATGTGGCCGAGGCTCGTTCTCCTGATTCTTTGCGAACTCGGAGCTGATGGCATTAACCTGCACACAACCCAAAAAAGCGCCTGTAGCATTTGTAGCTCCTGTTCCAGCAAGACTTTACGAGGAGGTAGCACTGTGCTGGTTGCCGTAGCTACACGCAGAAAGGTCATCCTGCAAGTCACACATGAGCCTGAAACCCGAACGAGGAGCGCATTCCTCAGAACGCTGACTCCTCAAAACTTCCCTCGATCCCATCCCAAAGTCCCAAGCCCACCTCCCTCTCTGTGGCCGAGGCCGTGAAGAGCGGCTCGCGGAAGAAAGACGCAAAGCGCTGCAGTGACTCGCGGAGACCACCTGCGAAAATCTGCCAAGGTCTGGCACGTAGATTCTCAGGCCTTGCGAGGAAACCGGGGACTGCTTCTCGTGCAAATAGCTCCCGAAAGAATGACACATGCCCTCTCTAGCTGCAATTTGGACAAGAGACTCGGGGAAACCTCAAAGAAGTACGTTGTGCTCGATTCCTCGACACAGGCCGCAGAGGCTGGACTGTTTCTGCTTCGGCCGCAGACAGCACTGCTCTCACACTTAGTAGACTCATACGAGTGGGCCGGCGGACAGCGGACAAGCAAGACGACAGAAATTCAGAAAGAGAGCTAGAGACAGATAGAGGGAGAGAGAAAGAGAGAGCGAGAGAGAGAAAGAAAGACACAAGGTACCAGATCATAACTGCACGTGTTCCATGAGCTGCTGCGATTGCTGCCCTAGTCTTCCAGCCAAGCAGCTGATGTGAAAGCATTTTGGCTGCCAGAGTTCGCAACCAGAAAGCTTTCGAAGGAATTCTCCTCTGGGTACTCTTTGGTACCCAGAAACAGCATGTGCCTCGGCAGTGGGGCAGACGCCAAAGGAACCTCAAAATCCTCTCTTTGCATGAACAGAGGCTCTGAAGCTGCCGGGGCACTCGCAGAAGTGCGCGAGTCCGGGAGTATCCTGCGGAACTTCTACAGGAGACAGATCACTCTGAGTTGGCTCATATGAACTCATCCTTGAAGCCTACTTAGTGATGAAATCACAAGTGGGGAGGAGGGCTGCACCGGCAGAGCGCCTCCCACCGCAAAGAACACGCAACGCAAGTTCCTCGGGATCCGAGTAGAAGCCAACGTGGACGGACAGCGCGCTCGAAGCGGTGACTGCATCTGGATCAGATGCCAGCAGGACCTTGAAGCGAAGCCAGGTACAATGGTGTACTATAACATAACAGTTACTATAATACTAGAATACTACAATACTGTAACTGTAATACTATAATAGTATAATACCATAGTAGACAGAGCCTCCTGGAGACACCAGAGGTTTTCCTTCACCGACACTGGTTGCTGCGCTGCTCAGGGCTCGACCCTCATGCCATTGCCCAGGGTCAGCGCACGGTAGTTTCGTATGTCCTATGGGCAGCTTGAAGGTAGCCGTAAAAGCCTCACCCTACTACCCACAGCCAACATCCCAAGACCGCCAAGTCCAGCGGGCTCTTCATGACTTCACCGTCAAAGACATCGGTTTTCCTGCGGGGGCCAGGGCCCTGCAGAGTTCAGCACCTAACAGTGCTGCATGTGGGATGTCTGGTATAGGCTCTCGGAACCTGCACCTGTTTACAGACCTCAGCTGCAATCTCCGAATCACCGCCGACGAAGCCCATAAAAAACCGCAATGATTCTGATGGCCAGGATACGACAAGTAAGGAAGGCCTTGAGGATGAGCAACAAGAACGCGAGGGAAGCCATGGTAACGACGCTATTCATGACGACGACAACGACGTGGTGACGGCGACGGCGACGATGACGATGATGAGGAGGACGATGATGATGGTGGTGGTGGTGGTGGTGGTGCATCCAAGCCTGAACGCCCCAAAACGGGGCCTCGTCAGAGCGGGCACCTCGGCAAGGGCCGCAGGAGCAGGGGCAGCTGCAGCGCCCCCCAAACCAAGCAAGACCTGCCCGAGCGCTCGGGGCTTGCCGCCGCTTGCCAGGTCCTAGGCCTTTGGGTTCAAGGGTTCCAGGCTTGGCGTTCTCACGTTTTTGTTTCCGTTGATCGGGCCCTCATCTCATGCTGGCGTGGCGAATCTGCCTCCTTGCAGTGTACACCCAACAAACGGCCAAAGAGTGGCGTTTGGAGTGTAGGTTTACGGACGCGAACACAAATAATGCGCATGAAGTCGCTTGCAGCGTCACACAGCTTTCTGTAGGACACCCTAGTCGAGCCGCCCACTTGTAATGTATGATTGATTCAACTACCAATTTTGCCTTGCATCCCGCCGGACGACTTGTCCCACTGAATCCAACAACATACGAAGGTTTGCGTTTCTCCCTGCTCAAAGCCTCGACAAACCGAACAACAGCGTCCAAACCAAACGTTGAATTGGGCTACTTTACCCATGCAAGTTCTTTGAGAGGGGCTCTGTCTTGCCCAAAGCTTCAGGCTTGCTTGTGCTTGAAAAGACGATTCTACCGGCAAATGTGAGCGTGTAAGGAGGGCATGTGGTAGAGGAGCCATAGTATGCCAGGATCAGGAACCTCTGCACACAACATGCGAGGATTGCTTTTACAGGTCATCCTGAGGACCAAGCCAGAGAACCAAAGCATATCAGAAGAGTTGAAGCCGCTCCAAACCGAATTTGAGCCCTGTCCTGAAGGCAGAGAACCGAATCTGTGCCGACTGGGAGATGTTGAGTTGAAATAGGTTGTTATAACCCGACTGCGACAGGTCGGAATTGTAAGTTGGACCTCTGCAGACGAACCCCTTCCAGCACTGTGCTTGATCGATTTAATCCGCTAAGTGTCTCGGCTCAACATGACTGTGGCTTTGGAGGTAGACTTTACGAAGGTGCAACAAGGACCCCAAGGAACCATATTAGTAATTGCTTGGGCTCCTACTTTGAAATTGTTGGCAGCACGACGTGAGTACCATTGCTGCCTGCATGGCAGAACTTTATGCTCATCTCCCGCAAGCCTTTCGACGGGGTCGTCGCACTGCGAGAGCAGCAGCCAGCGCGGCCGACTGCGACGAAGAACATATACTGTACTATTATAGGATACTACATTATATGCTACGTTACACTAATATACTAATGAATCTAATACTTGTATATGGTTATACTAGCATCAGAACTTCGTACATTGGCGCGACGAGAACCCGAATGTGTGGACGTAGTGCCTCACGAATGGTGTGGCATGGCACAGCTCTATGGACATTGACTGTCACAGATCAAGAAGTGCCGTACCTGCGGGTTCGTGGGCTTTGGCTCCAGGTTTGTGCGGAAATCCGAGTTTCACACGAAATCACGTGCCGTCGCTCCCGGTTCTTACAAGACTTGTGAAACAGCACTGCCTCCGCCGCAGCTGTCACTCTGTGCGTCTGACGCCGGCTGCTGCGTTGGGCGTGGAAGGCCGACGGCCTATCAGCACAAGACTGCCAAGACCTTAAGGTTCGAATGCTGAACTGCCGATATCAATGGCATGAGAACAGTAAACTTGCGACTCGCGGATGAAATAGTTGTGGCTGCTGCTTGGATGCTGCTCAGCTGCTCTTAAATAGTCCCACGGTGGGCTTATACCTCCAGCGTGTTAGATGTGACGGTGGTGACGTCCGTGGCTGGTGATTCGCAAGCCCCTGTTGTTGTTGCTGTGAACCTTGCCCGTTATAGGAGACCCCAGGGCTTGTTTGTGTGGTACGAGGTTGTTCAGGATACTGCTTCTGCCTTGATTTAGGCACAACGGGGGAGGGCTCATGAGATTGGATCTGAGGTCGGGCATCGATGCTTGTCCGGCCTGTCCGGAAGCCCGTGCTGCGCGCTTCGAGGACGCGACGGCGCCGCGGGACGGAAGCTCCCCGTCAAGACAGCAGCAGCCATGGCTACAGCAGCACAAGCTATACAACAATGTAAAACAAGGTCGACTGATCACTACGTCTTCTGTTGTGGTCGCGCAAGTCATCCGCGCGCACAGTGCAAGGGCGGCTCAATGATACAAACCTCACGAATAGATGAAGCCAGTCGCTACATGGGACTTGCATTCGCCGATCCGTTTGTGCATTCGCACTGTCTACTGCTGCCCCTTAGGGACTGCTCTCAACCTACGGTCTGAATGACTATGCTGTCTCGTGCTCTGTCAGAGTATGATGGGCAAGCTTGTGTCCGCTGGTGCTGCGGATGTATTGTCTACTGCGGCTCAGCATTAACACGGCTGACGCGGAAATCGTTGAACTCGCTATCAACTGGTTCTGAAGCCTGTGTCTCGAGTACTCGGGGCCTTCCCGAGTCCAAGATCTCAGCATGTTTTCAAGGTCTTTGATTGATGCGCTGAATCTTGCGATGAGCTGCTGACGTGCTTGGACTTGTCTACAAACGCGGACGCCAGGACAGATTGCAACACACAGCCGATTCGCACCCATGAGGTAATGAATAAGAAGATTGACTACCCATTGTGACAAATGAGCCGGCAGCGAATTGGAAGCAAAGGTCCCGGCTCCGTCGGCTGATGTACCTCACCGCGGTGCCTCCTGCCTCAATACTCAATGCTGTTGTGCCACGGCCAGGATAACTTTGGATCCGCCCCGCATATTCCCGAGCTGCCGCCGTGGCTTCAAACCGGCGCTAAGGCCGCTGCGCACGCTGCGCAGTCGCAACAGCGGATGTCGGCCTTCACAGGGCTCCAGTCCTACCGTACTACGGTGCATGGCGTCGATCTAGTCTGAGGAGTCTTGATGATGCATCTCCTTTTCACAGGCTCCACTAACTCTGAAACATTGGCTAAGGTATGGGCATCTGGGGCAATTCGAACGAACAGCCCGGCAGCTACGGACAGGAACAACGCTGTTTGTTTCCCTTACACGGATCGCTCGAGCAGGGCTTCGAGCAATAAGCCTGGCTTCTGCACTACTGCGGGGAGCAAAAACAAAAAATGCAAGTGATTATCTAAAGCGTAGCATGATACTGGAGACTCTACGAACTGAGGCTGACGAAGACAGCCACACCATCACCCATTCGCATCGTCTGCCGCATGAGGCGCGTAGGGGAGGAGCTATGCTTGGGGTTTGGGCAGAGCGACGCTTGGGGCTTGTGGGGAACTGTGCATGAGCACTGTTGCAAAGCAGAAGTACTGAAGCAAGACCTTTCTTCTAGCAGCGGAAGTGTTTCTCTGGGAGCGGGTTTCAGGCCGCGCGGGACTCCGACCTTCACGCCTGAGGCTACTGACCCGGCACGCCTGGCGGCCACCAAACACGCCGTGGACGCGACACAGCAGCACCTTGAAGCTTCAGGACTGTGAGATCGTTGGCATCCAGGCTCGGGCTTCTAGGAAACAGCATTGGCCTGACTGCGCTTCCAGCAGGCACATCGAACGCTTGAACCCCCAACACGTCCCTCATCTGCCTGTCGCGTGGGCGCATCCCCTGCAGAGACATAGGGAACTGCTTCAGAGCAAACTTGCATGTCTTCGTTGATGCAGCCGTCAAACGAAGGGAAGCAGTTCTTATGTCCCTAGCCCGAACGGTGGCCCTGGACATCCACCGGCACCCTTCCAGACCAGCATGATGGAAGACACCAAAACCGGGAGCCGATGCCAAGCTGAGAGCAAACCTCGCGGACAAATTCCATGGAGGAGCCGAACCCAAAACCACGATCCTACACCGTCGGCTCTCTTCGGCGATACGAAGGGGAGTCCGAGACAGGTCTGCAATGGAGCCTGCGTGGCACAGAGCGGTGCGACGCTTCTTGTTGGTCTCCATGCTCAAACACGCAGTCCCAGGGTAGCTACGCAGCTCTACACAGCCTGGGACTGGGTTTAACATCTATAGACAGGGAAAGGAAAGCTTCAAGAAAAAAGATCGCGACCAAGTACAAGAACTCCTTGGGAAAACTTCTGACTTCCCTTCCCCTGCAGTTCAAAATTCCAGCCACTGGCTCATGCAAGGGTTCGCATCTTGTCGGGCTCCGAGTTGTTGAACTTGTACAAGGAGCTGAGCGTCTTCCAGCCAAGCTTGAGATCACCCATAGGGTCGTTGCCCTGCACAGTTTTGTACAAGTACGAGTCGAAGGTCACCTTCTGCACATACTCCTCCTCACAGAGCTCTACGAAGCTCTCACGAGCGGCATCACTGGTGTAGAACACCTTCTGCAGCAAGTCCAAAACCAGATAGGTGGGGCCATACTTCGAATCCCACTCGCGAATGTGCTCCATGAGGTCAGCCTCATCGATCATGCGCACGCCCTGCTTCGAGCTCTTGGCAATGGTCTCCGCGCACATGCGGCCGCTCTTGGCAGCGAAGTAAATGCCCTCGCCGGAGCACTTGGTCACGTAGCCGGCCGCGTCGCCGACGAGGATTGCCCTGTCCTTCACACGCCATGGGCGCGGGTGCTCAGGGATCGGGTGGGCTTCGACGCGAATGATCTCACCACCCTCGATGCGCACAGCTGCCCGGTCGCGGATGCCCTGCTGGTACTGCTGGATGCCCTTCTTGTCCACCACGGTTCCGGTGCCCACAGCTACGTGGTCGCACTTGGGGAAGACCCAGGCATAGAAGTCCGGCGAGACATCATCGCCAACGTACATCTCAGCGCGGTCCTTGTAGTAGTCCATCTTGCCATCTGGGATGCGCATGCGCTCCTGAAACGCGATGGCGTATTCATAGTCGCCAGCTTCGATATCCTTGGCCACCCGGCTGTTGGCTCCATCAGCGCCGACCACGACCTGAAAGCGCGACCCCATCCCCATCCATGCTGCGACCCCACCTGGCCTTGTGCATGCAGCACGCACCGAAGCCCAGCTAGCAGCCGAGGAACATCGACTTCCAAGGTCTTCTTCTCGCCCTTGCCTCAAGCCACGATTGCTCAGTCAAGAATTGATGTCTGCTGCACGGCTGCCTGGCCGGCTCGGCTTAGCAAGCAGCCTTGCGCCTCTCTTCTTTCAATTAAAGCCCTCTTGTCCTGGCATCTCGAACATGTGATGGTTTGGCGCCCACATCAAGAAAGCGCAGGGCTGATTTCGAGACCTGCCCTGAGCTTATCCGTTGAAGAGACTTGAAACATGCCAAAGGTTGCTCCGAGTTCTTTTCAGCTTGGCTGCGTGCACTGCCCTCGGCTTCACCGAAGTCGTTGTAGGTCAGCACATAAGACTCTTCCTGAGGGCGTCGGCTACACGGCTACGCTCCGCTTCGAGACTACTCTGACCCTCGCAAAAAGCCGGAGCGCCCGAGTCTGCAGCACCGGAACCCTCGAAGCCCCCTCTGCAAGCTGTGCAGCCTGGCCTTGCTCTGAGGAATCGTCATGCCCATGAAGAGGCCATTGATCAGCGTGGCGCCGTTCTGCTTGGCCCTCTGGCGGAGGAAGTCGTCAAGCACCTGCGCAACAACAGCCGCACCACGATCCAGCCCAAGTCCCTGCGAGGAGTCGGTGACATCTCTCACGATCTCTCATGCCAGGCTCAGCGACACGCATCTCGACGGACTTCGCCCTCGAACCCTGCAGTCCAGAAGTCGGACCTCGCGGCGGACCATGCCGATGAACTCGTCGTCCTTCAGGGTCTGGCCAATCTGCACCTGCGCAACATGCAGCGCAGGTCCTCAACGGATCCCCGGCCCCAAGCTCCCGACCGGGCCTCCTTGTTCGTAGGAGAGATCATGGTCATCTTGCGAACCTCCGAGGAGTGCTGGAGACTTTCTTTGCCTCTTTTGCTCGCGAGGTCGTCAGAGCGGCAGCTCTCGGGCAGGCCCTGCCTGGCGGTCCACGATGTCCTTTGGCAGGTCGAACTCCTCGGAGGTGCAGGGCAAAAGAGAAGGCAAGGCTCCATGCTGTCAACTCCGGACATGTCCCCTAAAGAGCTCACACATCTGTAGACTCTACGATCAAAGATCAGCGCTACGGCTCTGGGACAGCCCTGGTTGGCTTACCTTGCTATTCCTGGAACACTCCGGTTGTCGCGAGGAGTTGATGCTTGCCGTTTATGACACTTTCCGTCAATTCTGTGTCCTCGATCATGCACAAAGGGATGGCCCCACCGCACGGCTTGCAGTTGTCCAGCTTCCTCTCGATGAGGTAGGTCTCGATGCCCTCCTGCAGCCAAAGTCAAGATTCGGGCCTTGTTACCTAGTTGCACTGCTCCGAGAGACAGAGACAGACAGAGAGAGGTTGAAAGAGAGAGAGAGAGAGAGACACTCACACACTAAGTTGGGTGGAGGGCTATATAGGGTGGCATGCAACACAAGACCATGTGCGGGCCCTCGATGTCCCTCTGCGAGCCGTACTGAACATCTGCGGTTCTTGTGCCCTGCGGCGCCTGAGCCAAGGCATCTGCTGTGCTGGCGCCGGCCGGGCCACCGCCGATGACGGCCACACGCAGCTTGCGCCCCTCCTCGGATGGCACGGCGTGAGATCCGCCGGTTGTTTCTTTCAGACAATATACGGCACGACATGCATGCTAACGGACGGACGGGCTCTGAACAACTGCAAAACAAGCGGACACACCGCCACTACAGTACACCATGCTGACGAATGGCGACGCTGCACGGGTTCTGTCACGACAAACAAAAGAGCAACGTACCATGTGGCTCAGAAGGCATGCTATTGGCTGGGGCCACTGATTCATGTGGCCCTGCAACAGACCACGTTCCAATGGGAGTGGTGCAGAGGCCAGGAACGCTTGAGGAATGGAAATCTCCGACGCCGCAGCACCGTTCGCTCCTGTGGTGCCTTTGGATGCACCTATGGGGGACATTCGGGGGCGACGCTTCCGCCAAAAGAAGCCTCTACTCCCGTATCTTTCGTTGTAGCAATCCTCGCTGCACAGTCAACGATAATGCCGAGCAGATCATAGGGTGTGCGGGTGTGCCATGCCAAGAGAACAGTGCAGCCTTCAGGCAAAAGCATCGATTCAGCAGGGACCTTGCCCTCTTTCCTTCTGCTACTCGTCTCCTTTCCCGCCACTCAAACGACCGCGACCTCTTCCCCATTCATGCCATCGGATTGCAGCTGAGCTTCTGGGAGCATTGCACCTGCACATACCACAACCTTCGCATCTGCAAGAGACCGTGTCTTCGAGAGCTTGGTCACGGTAGCTGCACCTGCAAAGAGTTGTAGCTAGCTCACTGCCACACTGCTGTTTGTTGTATGCCGACTAATCAATTGGCACGTGCATGCTGTGCTGATGGCTTTTGGGGCCGTGGATCTCTTCCGTGGGGTGGTAAGCCTTGCACACCTGTGCAGCTTTGACAGACAGGCTGAAACCTCAGCAACATTGAGAATCGAAACAACTAAAAAGCACCCGAGAATTCCTCGAATCAACCGCCCTTCCCGACCCAACGCTGCAAAGCCTGCAAGAGCAGACCGATGCTTGCGGCGCGTGCCCGCGGCCACTGCAGCACCCACGGCTGCAACACCCAGGGCTCCCTTCACCTCGAGAAAGAACGGACGGATCCCGCAACGGTCCTAACTGCTTCAAGCGATCGTGTCGCAGACATGCGGATACGCACCTCAGTATGACTTTCCCACGTTCAACCAGGCCGACCTTCACGATTGTTGTTTCCATGCCAAGGGGCTGCAAAAGAAGCCGCTGGAGCAGGGCTCGGAAGAGCCTCCAACTTTGCGAGAGCTCAAGCTACTTGTCTTTTAGTCTGTCTCCGTAGCCGTTTATGAGGCCCCTGACAAGCAGGACGCTAAAGTCAGCCTAAGTTACGCCTCGCCACTTTGAGGAGCCACATGCAGGAAGGCTGTTGCATAGAAATCTACAGAATCGGAGTTGGTTGCTGCCAAATTGGCACGCAACGTCTGGATCGAAGTCTACCTCTACTCAGGCTCCGAGTTTCAGCAGCACTGCCGCTGCTACTTCTACTGCTGCTAGTACTACGACGACGACTACGACGACGACTCCTCTTGCTGCTGCTGAAGCTGCTGCTGCCGCCACTGCCGCTCCCACCACAGCCATCATAATATTCGAGGATAGTTTGTCATTGAGGTGATGTTCCTGCCGTTTGTTGCAATCCTCATCTGCAAGACGCGATCATGGAAGAGATGACGATGACCATGGTGATGGCGATGATGCTGACCACGGCGGTGATGTTGATCATGAGGGTGATAACCATGGGGATGATGGTGGTCATGATGATGATGACGATGATGACAATATCGTGATATGCGCAGTGATCAGGATGTCGCTAGTTTAGTGCCATTACATCTCTATGAGCACTTGTTTTAGGTGTTGCAACATGCTGCTGTTTTAGCCTGCAACGAGTCGTGAATTGGCTCCCACCTGGGGAACATGCTGCAGGCTGCCCCGCAGGGCAGTGCTGGTCGCGGAGCTGGGAGCGGCGACAAAGGCAGCCATGGCCTCGGGCTGTTGCGAAGCGGCTCCGCGCCACAAAGAGGTGCGCAGGACAAGGACAGTCCAGGTTTGAGGGTCTGGCAGGCACTTAAAGGCACAACCAAAGCATCAGGATGCGGGACAGATTGCAAATGCCAGGGTCGGCTACATTTCGAAATCCTGAGCTTCAAATTACTTGTCATGCAACCGACTTGTCTCTCCGCATCCCAGGCGCACTTGTCGGACTGAGGGAGGAAGGATGCACCCAGCGAACCTTGCTGTGTGGCCGTAGTGGCTGCGAGCGCTGAGCACGTGATCCTGAAACCAACCAACCTTGCCTGGCACCCACGGGTACTGAAGCATGCTTGGGTCCGACGGAAACATTCTGATGTCTGATCATGCTGTGCTACGAGCTTGAGATTCAGCTGTGTTCGGAGGCAGCTACATCAGAATGGCCCTCGCGATGCTGCTGAGCCTTCGGTGGTGCGCTTTACGAAGAAAAGGGCCCAGCCCCTGCTCCAAGAGCCTGCGTCATGAAAGCAATCTCCGCAGTTTGTTCGGAGCTGTGGATTCTGTTGGGGCCGGGTGGACAGCCGGTCACTTTGCCCAGATCTTTTCAGGAAGCGACACTGATGAGATACTGCCTTGATGCAGGGACGCCTAGTGTTGGGTGCCTTCGCCAGCGGGGAGTGCAACACAACCTTCTGCTTCGGGCTGCTGTGTAAAGCAGTCCAGGCCTACGAAAACCTGCACCTGAGGGGCGAACCTTATTCGTCCACGGAGGCCCAAAGTCCCAAACTTTTGCGAGCGCCTGCTTCACAAAGATGTGTGTGCTCCATGGCCTGGTCAAAGTCCTGACACGATGTGGGGCTGTGCAACGAGGCCTCAGGGATTTCTCGGCATGCCCCTGCCAAAGACTCATGCATGAAGATTCTTCAGAAATGCCGCTAGTGGGTGCAATAGAAGCTAGGGCAGCCAGGTTCAGGGCGAGCTTGCACTCTGGAGGGCGGACCCTCGAAACCACTTAGTGAGACTGGAGTTTCTGGTCTGTTTAGATGCCACTGACCCAAAAGCCGGAGAGAAGCACGCAGCCTTTTTCGCCACCAGCCAGCTCTGGCTGTTCGTTGCCAGTCTCCGAGCAGCTGTAGGTTGTAGCGAGAAGTGCAGTCATGTGTCATGAGTACAGACCCACCATGAACTCATCGGGAGAAGAGAATCCTGAACTGTGCTCTGGACTCTAGAGATTCCTGAACTCATGGCCCTGCGAAACCCTCAATGTCTAATTAGCGAGGATCTCCCGAGGCACCAGGGGGGATGCACCGCGCAACACCAGTGTTGGCCAGCAGCGAGGCCACTGCCAGGGTCAGCTCGTCTTTGCCTGGTGGAAACTCGCGCTTGCCATCTTCACTCCGGAGCTTTACTTCAGAGTACGGCTGCTCTGGTGCATCCCGATTGGTCGAACAAACGGCACCGATAGCACCCAGCGTGATGCTCGCCAGCCCCATCAGGCCCCCTACAAACACAGCCTTCCCTATCGACTTCCATCTCTGGCCTGGCAGCGAAACGATCTGTATGCCCACCGGCTTGCCAGCAGAAAGCCCCATGGGAACAGCTGTCGCCGGGAACTCCAGTGCGTTCCTCGCTTCAACCAACGGTCGGTATTCTTATGTTCGCTGCTCTCCCAAATCTCGCTAACATCGTCTTGAGTAACCGTCATTCCGACTCCGCACGGGGGCTCCCGCATTCTCTCCTGTCTCCCTTCTTCTTCATCTTCTTCGCGCTTCGGGGCTCTCTTTCTTTTCGTGGGTCAAGAATCAGGAGGGCCCCTCCGCAGGTGCGCCTCCCCCTCTCTCGCGCTCGCTTGCTAGGATAACCCTGCGACAGGCGTCTATCTTGTGGAGATCCGACAAATAGGGACAGAATGCCAAGTACGCCCATCAGGACAATCAAGCAGACCGAGAAGCCAAATCCCAGTGAAGCAGCTGTCGAAGACTCGAACGGTAAGCTCATCATGAAGGCAGCCATGGCCTTGGGTCGCCATTGGAGTTGCCACTTGTCGCATAGTCGATGACGGCAAGTGCGGGTTCCCCACCCCCTGCCCCAACTCGGTAGCGAACGCGGAAGCGTCGGCATCAACAGAACCTGCGGAAGATCACAGCATTGCCCGGCGTGCAAGGCGGCGCTGCCCCTTACGACTCACTGGCAACCGCAAGCCAATCCTCACACCGCAAAAGCGACTGCGCCTGACAGCGCGTCAGGACCTCCCGCAATCGAGCTTCCACCTCTGAAACGGGCACATGGCTTCGAACTACTTCATATCAGAGCTTGAAATATTGGGAATTGTCGCAAGCTTCAGGCCATGTGTCGAAGCTGAAGACGTGTTCCTACGGCAAACTACTGCTTTCGCCAGTGCGCATGCAGATCTTGCGGAAATCAGAATGCTGGGTGAAAGAATCAAAAGCCCGCAAGATGCTGTCCGAGCGCGCTGAAACTAGTGACTACCGAGGACCCAGAACTGCGCTTTCCTGTCCGAGAAGAACCCTGCACGCCGTTGAAGAAGGCCTCTGCAGATATGCGAAGGCGCTTCCTGAGGAGCTCTTCCTATCCCGAAACCCTGAGGGCCGGTAGGGTTTGATCCACCACTTTGAAGTCATAGCGGCACATGGGATCCCAAGGCCCCAGCTCCAACGGAGGCTCCACCAACTGTACCCAATCCTCGGTCCCGTCAGAATGTCGGAGTGTTCTTTGGGGCTGTGGGTGGGGATGGCTCAAGCGGCAAGCAGCAAGCAGCGAGCAACAAAGGAACCTCCTGAAACCCAGGAATGCACGCTGCCCCGCCTCAAGGAAAGCCAGCATCAGGGCTGGAAAGGTGAAGGGGGAGCGGCCGACAGCATAGCCTCAAGGAGGCATTGGCGTTGAGCTCTGTGCTTTATAGCGATACTTGACTCAGGAACATCAAGCCATTAAGCCCTAGCTGCAACACGGCACGATGGTTGCTCCATGCAACGCGTTCAACAACTTGCTGACCGGCAGCGCAGGAGCTCACCCAGACCGAAGAGCGGGCCCTTCTGGCACAGCACCTGCCGTGCCAGTGAAAGCACTGGCCCAGCTCCAAAGGTGCCACAAGCACAATCCCTGAAAGCAACAGAGACAGAAGCCATGTACCAGCTCCGAAAGCCCGTGTGGACTCCGTCGGATGTGCCGGGAACCTCCCGGAACGCTGCTCCGCCGGCGGCTTGGATACGAGTCGACCAGCCTCCATTTGCCAATCTTTGCCGGAGGCACGCTCAAGAGTGCCACGAGAGGTTGGATTCAAACCAGGGTGCCTCCAAAATCTGGTTTGGAGCAAAAGCCGACAGGTTCTGAGACAGCGACTGCCCTTCACATCCGTGACACGACGAGACTTCAGAAGCTGAAGAGCTGGCAAGGCTCATCCGAACCACTCGCCCACAACCAGGTCTTCCAGGAAGATCCTGAAGAAATTGCAAAGCACTTTAAGGGATTCAGCCCTGCTCAGCCCTGTCAAGCCCTGCCGTCCTGGAGTTTCCCAACTATATGCCACCGAGAAGCTCTTCGATTTCACAGCCCTGGCAGGAGACTGCTTCCATTCCGTCCATGGAGTCTGCAACTTCCTAGACTCCGCAATGTCGCAAACCCTCGTTACGAGTGCGGTTGAAGATCCAGATCGGCCGCAAGCTTCATCTGCTAATCGGGCACCCCCCACTCCAATTCCTCAAGTGAACCTCAGGGTTCCCGGAGACAGACAAGGCGCCTTTAACTGTAACATTTGACAGCTGAGTTCAAAACCCTGGAGATCAAGCCTCAGACCCCAAACTGTAAGCTTGAAACACTATATCAGACCCAGCCCCGAACCTTAAACCCCTGAACCGCCTCCTGGCGCAGCGCCGAGACGGCGGCCGCTTGGGCTTCCCTTTGAGGGCCCGAAATCCCAGAGAGCAGCAACTCCTGAGCCTGAGAGCCGGGGCCATAGCCGCAGTAGGAGTAGCAGTACCCTGTCCAACCACCGGCAGGAAGCAATAACAACGTTTTGCTACAACTGATAAGTGAACGAAGAGACTATTGATCAGGAACCACAGAAACAGCACGAAGGACCACCACAGGAACGAGAAGGTAATCTCAATCGGGATCCCAATGAAGGGCCGAGAGACGGATCCCGGCCAGCCGCCCCGAAAGCGCAAAGATCCCACCTCGAGCAAGCGTCTGCGAGAGTTCTCAGAGCTCTTATAGTTCAAACAGTTTCAGAAAGCTCTTCGTGTTTGGATGGGTCGTTCAGGGTCGGGTGACTCTCGTTCGGCTTCTGCCTCTCCGTCTCAGCCAGCTTCTTTGCTTGGCTTCTGGGTTCCGTGTATCTCTCCCCCCTTCTTCATGCCCTTCTTCTACTGGGCTTCAAAAGGAAAGCTGAACCGCTCCTGCAGGGCAGGCCGCTGTCCAGTCTTTAGCCCGCATAGCACTCCCCACAGGCAAACCGACGATTGCACAAGAAGTATCCGACGAGCATCCTCAGCTATAGCTCTGGCTCTCTTCCCCCTCTCTCGTATACTGTAACGCTGCGTTTCTCGGGTGCTTCATGAGGAATTTCACGATTCTCTTGTCTCTCCGGCAGCTCCCCTGGATCTTAAGCTGCCCTGGCGTCGAAACGCAGCATGACAGACAGAAAGACTAAGTGTTGGACCAAGCCGACACCTTGTACCACTCGCGGCTGTAACCTTTTAAAACTCCTTCTCTTGGACAACAGGTAGTCCCCGACATGAACGAATCCCTGGAAGCAGAGGTCATGTCGCGATATCATGGCAACCGGAAAAGCCAGCCGTTGCCCTTTCTTCCTTCTAATTGCGAGGCGACCCAAGGTCAAGATATAGGTCTGGCGATCCAGGAACCCAGAAGACACCGCCTTACCCTGCCCTAACCTTCCTGCCGTGCGGCTCGAAGGTGCCCAAGCTTAGGGAGCCCCCAAGAAGGTGGAGAACGATACTCGCGGACGAGAGGGTCCTTCCGAAAGCGTGCGAGTGCAAGGACTCATTTGCTGGTGGTCTCAAACTCCTAGACTTAGCAACATCGACTGAAAAATGTTTCTTTGCGCAGTATAAGACTGGATAGACTGGTAGTTTTCCCGTGCATGGTCCTCCGTGCTGTCTGGCAGCCCAGACATAATCTTCAACAGAGGCAGCAAGTCATCGGCATGGCGGCAGACCATGCCCAGCTGGCAGATGCGACACACCGCCTGAGCGAATCTCTCTTTGAAGGCGTTGTGACGTCTGCATCTTGCAAGCTCAGCATAAGATGCTTGCAGCATCCGTCGCACTAAGCACGTCCATCAAGCAGCAGCATCCAAGCGAAGGTTCGAGCCACCTCAAGAAACAAAACTTGTACGTAGTATTCAGGGCAGCTGTGCATGGAGCGCAACAGGGACGGTGTCTGACAGTGTTTATTACACTCATCACTGCCACCAAAAAAAGCCCCCTCTAAAGATGAAAATATTTTCGGGGAACCATGAAAAACCAGATATGCCCAACACAAGGGCAACGTCGGACACGCCTCGGGGGGCGCTAGTGAACAGATAAAGCAGACATTGACATTCTTGCTGGGGCAAAAACTCCTAAGACCTAAAGCTGCAAAACTTAAACCACGAGACCTATATAAGCCCAAATCCTGGACCGTAGGCGCCCTTGGGAATACCAAAGGCTCCCTACCAATCCCACAAAACAAAAATCACGCCTACAAGTAACACAAAAACATGACTGGCGACTTGCTCGGGGGCTTTGAAGGGGTGGTGGGAGGGACTGCTTTAAAGGGGAAATGAAGACATGTGCACACGCATGGGAACGCATCATGAGCTTCGTGGCCCCACCCCCCCTCCCCCCATGGTCCAGGGTGGCTTCGCCCCTGTGGTGTGGGGTGCGGGGTCCGTCTTCCCCCTTTGGGCTGGCTGCGGGGTTTTAGGGCTTAGGGTTCAGCTTAAGCTTTTGAGTTTTGGGCTTTGGGTTTAAAGTTGCAAAGTTTTAAGTCTTCGTGTCGACCGATTGTATGTGAAAGACCATGTTAGAGGCCCCAAAGCTCGGGCCGTTTCGGAGCACCCGATCCGCGCACTACACCTGTAATGCAGGAGCCGCCGTCATGATTCCTGAACGGTGAGGCGGCGGCACGGGTCGCTGCGGTTAAGAGCAGCCTTAGCAGGTGAGAGTGGGCTAGTCAAGACCTCCTTCGAAAGCCCATGGGGGCCCTTGCGGAGGACCTTCACAGCCTTGAAGAATCTGCGACGCCGAGCCTGATGCGAACCCTTGCGAGGCGGGATGCGGCAGCAACGTCGGGCATTGATGGATTTCGGGGGCCCATTAGTGAACAAATGCCGACATCTGGTGCAGCTCCAGGCTTGCTTCCATTGCACGCGATTTGTGCGCTGGCGCTTCGAGCTGAGGACCGGCCAGAGCACCATGTCAAAGCCAGGGTACCGGCCGCCATCGGGACCATCCGCGATCACCTGGGCAGCTCGCTTGTTCGCTGCATTGACGACCCAGATCCTCCTGGCACGCCGCCGCCGCAAGGCCTGGGCAGCAGCCAAGGCCTGCCACTGTCGATCGCTGTAGTCGGGGTGCTTCGCTCGACGAGGGGCCGTCACTCGCGCTCAAAAACATGCTTAGAGATGAGATGCTGTGACTTGGCAGGAATCCCAAAGCAACATGCAGGACATATCCAATCAAAGCAATCATCGCGGATCTCAGCCGAGGACAACTTCCGGAAGGGAGTTGCAGTCACACGAACTGGCCCAGGCAGACCCTCACCATCATGCCATCAGCAGAAGAAACCACAGTCCTCGAGGAGTTGGTGTACGAGTAGTCACAGTAGGGGCACACAAACTTCGGAGGCTCATCTCCGACAACCAAAGCATTGTTGCGAAACCTGGGCTGAAGCTGAGCACGACGACGTGGCCCCTCAGCAGAGAAGAGGCCTCCCCGGACGTGGCTCCCGTAGGCTCCTGATCCCCATCTGAACGCCCAGTCATTGAAGGAGTGAGAGAGGAAGTTCGAGAGCGGGCCACAGTGCGACCACCGAGTCGCGAGGATGCCTTGTCAGTAAGGCCGCCCGGCACCGAGCCAGAGGCACGAGAAGCCGCGACAGCGGCATCGGTGCAGCCTCCAAGCTGCGAGGGAGCAAGGCAGTGCTGCCACCCAACGAGGGGGCACATGAAGCAGCGCCACCACGACCACCAGGCAGGTTTGAAGAGGAGCGACCACCCAGTACCGAAGAAACGCCTCCACGGTCGGCCGGGTCACCAATCACAGCCGGCTCGGCCTTCGAAGTAGTCGCCCGCGTAAGCTTGCCAACGAGCGCCTCGTAGTGCCGCGGTTCAATGTCCCCGTTCTCCAGCCTCCAGCCGTGTGTCAGGAAGGTTCTTTTTGCTGATCGCTTTCTGCCCGAGCAATCTGCACCAATCCTCTAGGCTGGGGAGCTTGTGACGGAAATAGCTGAGGCCAGTAAATCACAAGGACATCGACATTCCGCACGGCTCGCTGCATGCGAGACAAGGCTGGCGTCCAGAGTAGGAGACGTGGTGTACTCCGCATGTCTGGTAGTTCCAGACGTGGCCGTGTTCTGCCATTGCCACGTTGTAGTACTGCAAGGTTATATATATATATATATATACATACATATATAGATGAGTGAAGCAACCTGACTCTGGGTTGACCAGCGCAGCCTACAGTCTTCGGGCTATAAGCCAAAAACCTGGTGGCGCGGGTAAGCCAGCGCCACACCATAGCGGAAGGAAAGAAAGGAGACGAGCGCAGGCGCCAGCACAGCCTACAACAAAGACTTATAGGGTCTTAGGGCCAAAAGGGGGGGGGTGGAGCAAAGGAGGCGTGGGGCCAGCAGCACAGCCTACAGCACAAAGGCGGTGATGCCAGGCACAGGACTAAGCAAGGCAGGGCCTAATCTGCGGCGAAGCATGGGGAAAACCGGGGAACTAAACCAAGCAGGCCTAGTCGGGGGTACCGAGAACTGTGGCCCCGAGCTCGGCAATGGCAATGCCGACAGTGCATCGGCGATCTGAGCCTGCACCGCGCGCGCAGTAACCCAGGGATTTAGTCGTAATCCGAGGTTGGGCCGCGAACCAGCCCTCGGGCAAACCATGCAGCTCTTGCAAGGAGGCACGCAGATCCTGGAGCTTCGGGCATTCGGCGAACAGATCCCGAGCACTGGAGACGGCAGCACCGCATTCACAGCGGACGTGGTGGAAACAGTTCTGGCGGGAGTGGTACCACCTTCGAGAACGAGTTTTGACGGCACCTCCTCTCCAGATCCGAAGGAAGGTTCTGTGAGTTGGAGACAAGGAAGACTTCCGGCGCGACCAAGCTGGATCAGTTTGGACCCAGAGGTCCACGTCATCGATGCCTTCTGAATCCCAACGGTTGCGGTTGACAGAGTCCAAAGCCAAGGCACGGGCGACCATACGCAAGGCGTGGCCTCCGTCCGCAGCAGGGTAAACGTCGAACTGTAAAGTTCCGAAACGAAAAGGCTTCACAGGAGGCGCAAACGAACTAACCGGACTCTGTACTTCCGGGTGGGAGAGGTGGGAAAAGCGAAAAAGCTAGCTCGCTCGCACTTTCCTTTGGGCCTTCGTGCTGCGACCAGCGAAAGCCTCTCTCGGAAAGTTCTCGCTACGCACGCTTGTCACTACGAACACACGTGTTCTGCACGACAAGCTATGCTTCACAAGCTTGAGTGCAGACGCACGGACGTACACTTTTTGTCCACTCTTCCCTTCCGGACGGTGGCGAACTAGGTCGTCAGCTCGCTGCGACCTCGAACTGTAAAGTTCCGAAACGTCGCACTGTAAAGTTCCGAAACGAAAAGGCTTCACAGGAGGCGCAAACGAACTAACCACCTCAAGCGCACCGTGAAGCCACCCTTGTGCGCGTCAGTGAAGCGAACTCCTCGTGGTAACTTCGGCAGTCGTCTTGGAAGTGCTCCAAGAGAGGCCAAACTTCTTTGAAGGAGACCTCGTAGAACTGGCCCTGAGCGAACTGGAGATCGCTGAGGTCGCCTCTGGAAATGCCGTCGGAAATGTTCTCTTCGCTGCTAACTCTGTGGAACGAGACTGAGAGCGACCTAGAGGCGGCCCAAATCCAAAAGGCTCCGATCACAGCTGAAAGTCTAAGGTCCTTAGAGTAGCCTTTGTTGAGGGCGTGCTCGGCTGCTGTGTTATCTATCCAACAACACACGTGGGTATCGACCAGGTCGCAGATGGTGGCTAATGCGACCAATTGTGCTAGCGCTTCCAACCAGTATATATATGCCCTGGAGGCGGCCAGATTGGCTAGAACCAACTGCGGTACCTCGCCTCTGAATCCCAGAGGGCAGCGACCTGGCACGAACACGATCGCCCCAAAACCGTTCGTGGCTGTATGCAACTCCTGGGCTGGGGGTAGCTCTGACAGCCACTTGTTCGCAACACGGCGAACTCCGTGTATTGTCAAAAATGCATCAGCATACAAGTGCGCGACTGGACGTCCGCGCTCGTGGGGGTTCAGTGCGAACCTTCGGGGCTGCAAACTGGGCAGCAAGTCTCTAAGCTGGTGTAGCGATTGTTGCAGCCTGGGAGTCAGCGGACTCGAGCCAGGCGGACCGTTGTGCTGACGCTGGTACAAAGGTTGGAGGAGCATGCGACCCACGTGGTTGAAGACCCACGTGCACGTAAAGCACAGCTTGCCCGTAAGTTGGGAACACTCTGAGGCCGACATGCGACCGGAGGCTAGAAAGTCGGTGATCGTCTCGATCAACTTCGTCACTCTGCGGGAGCCCGGCGATGCGAAAATCGCCTCTGCAGCCAGCGTCCATTCTATGCCCAGCAGAGTCTGAGCGGACCGAGGTTCCTTGGACTTCTCCTCCTTCATGCGAAAGCCCAACACGCGGTGAAAGGCCTGGAAGACCGCGAAACCCGACATGGCCGTCTTGAGGCGTTCCAAGGAGAAGAAGTCGTCGACGTAGTGTGCCGCGAACATCAGTAGCAGCGAAATGGTCAAGAAGGAGACGACGTCTGCGACCCGAAGGTAAGCCCACACGGATCCTACCGACCCGAAGGGCAGGGCATTGTGGGCCCAAAGGCTCGGAAACACACCTGGCATGACCAGTCCGCATTCCGTGGGCTCGCGAACTGGCAGCGACCTGTAGGCACCTTCGTGGTCTATGGCTCCTAAAAGAACTGGTTCGGAGAACGTCTCGGAG